CCCCAAAACCCCAAAACCCCAAAACCCCGAAAGGTCCTGGCGCCTTTATATAATAAAGTATGAAAATAATATAATGAGGCATGCACTTGGTGGTTTTCAATTGATTAAAGAAGTGATGACACTATAAATGAATCTAGACAAATAGTTTCAATCATTAATTACTAGTTTTTCACTAGATATCAAGAGTACTCAGCAAGCCACTTGACTATCTAGTGAGACTTTGTTGCAAATGAGCTTTGTCAGGTTGTTTGTTGCAAAGCTGTCGAAATATTTCAGAAGGCAAGGATTATCTGAGTATAAATTTGTGAGTTCTAACATAGGTTCGTAACTCTGGTTGTTTCTATAGCTAAAGCTCTGTCTGAAGGTCTTAGTTCTCATAAGATCAGTAAGGTCGTGATTAAGGTTCTTAGCTTTTGCTGCTCTATCAGCGTTCAATAAATACTCCCAGATGTATCTTTGAAGGTTGTTGATTTAAAGTTCAGGCTTCAAGCCTAGTACATTAGCAACATTTCTCATCAAAGTCTCTATCTCTGCTGGGTTTTCTGATCTAGAAGCACATTCCACATAAGCAATAAACTGATAGAGAGCATCTCTTCTTACATCACGGCCATTTAGTCTGTCTAACTGCAGCATCTTGCTATAAGTTTCATTAAAGAGGTTGAAATGAGCTCTCATCTAGTGAGAAATTTGTAGGTCAGAGCATTTTCTTAAGTTGAAATACAGTGGAGCTAGTTTATCAACAAATAAACGATGAGCTTGCACCAAGTTGTCTGACTCTAGCCAGTCGTACATGGCTTGCTCAGGATGGAATCTATTCTGATAGTAGATAGCTCTAGCTACTTTCATAAGTGACTTAGGAACATGTAGGCTCCTCTCTACATGATAGAAGTTAGTCAACATATAAGAATGATGCAGAAAATGATTGGCTTTTTAAATAAGAATTTGGAACATCATCATCTTTTTAATCTTGATTGAAGGAGAGGGAATAATCTAAGTGATAAGCAGAGCTTATCTCCAGTCATCTTGTCTGAGAAGTTAATGTGCATATTGAATGGCATGTCTAGCCAGTATACTTTCTTTGATTTCAAAGTTTAGATATTTACTGGCATACTAGTCATCTCTGATCTTGTAGTGCCTCTGAACATAGTAGAGTACAATCACAGTAATTAGCTGCAATCTGTGATCCTGTACATTGTGTCTGCTAGTAGGCTCAATATTGACAAACTCTCCAAGATGATTTTTGATTAAGTTTTATTTTCTGGCTGCTGGTTCATGATATAGTTTGATCAGGAAATATATGAGAGGATATCTATGTCCATTCAAGGGTGATGCTTGTTCATATTGCTTATAGACTTCATTATCATACTAATCTAGTGCTCTTGATAGCTGATTATTAGGAGTGATTTTAATGGTAAGATAATATTGAAGCCATCTAGCCCAATCTTATGCTCTTTAGCCTAGATTTTAAGTATCTTAAAGACCACTGAGGAACTAAATAAAGTCTTTGGCTGGCTACTTGAACTTGCCATAAATGTTTGGATTACTTTTAACATGGTTGTCAAGGTACTAGCTTGAGGAGGTAGATGTCATAGCTTAGGAGACAAGCATTGCCATTTTAGCCTTACCGTGTTTGTTTAAATGAGCCAAAGCAGACTTGATATCACCATTGAATAAATGATGCTGAGCTATTTGGTAGACATGATCTTTGGAGTCAAGTTTATTTCTTAGATCTGCAGGCAGCTTATATTCTTATTAGCACATGAATCTGAGGACTTCAGTGAGTGCATTTCTTCTCTGCTTTTCGATTTAAATAGTATGTCCATCTTCGAAAGTTCTCAATCCATTCTAACCGAATATTTTTCTAGCTTTATTGTAGTTATTTAATCCTTTGAAATCTGGGTGTAGCTAGACTAATTGAATGCAAGGATTTCCAAATAGAGCATTTAAAGTACATATAACATAGAATTCCTCAGAAAGTTTTTACACTAACTCTAGAGTTTGAGAATCAATCTATTAAATTAGATGCTTAGCCAAGTCTTCCAAGAAATAGAATATTATTGTAGGATCACTTTAGAATTCTAGGGTCTTTACTTAGGTAGATGCTAGAGTTCTCTCTATGAAGGGATCATCGAATGACTGTGGAATGAGATAGTTAAGTTGATTTTGCAGTTGTTGTTATGGCATTTGACTTTGCAAATGAAGACTGTCAAATCTCTGGCCGAGATTAGGCTCTTATCTATCAATGATAAAGCTTCCATGCTTGATTAGGATGTCAGACACACCTTTATATGCTTCTTCATTCTACTTTAAGTTGATTTTCTTATCTAAAGGAATCTTCACTTGCTTGATCTGGTTGCTAGTGGTAACTTTAAGCAGACTTCCATTTGGAGTGAATACTGGTCTGCAAGGTATCATCTTAACAGGCTTTACTAGCTTTCTGACATCATTAGTGAAGCCAAGATCTGCCAAGATCTTAATAGTTTCATCAGCTGATTGTACCTTGAAATCTTCATGAGTTGTGAATAATTGTTGAAGACTCGGCTCTTCTTGCTTTTTATCCAATATCTTTTGTCTCAATTCTAATGCTCTTGCCTTTCTGTCATTCAAAGCTTGGGTAGTTCTGAGGTTTTATCTTTGCTTTGACTTTCTAATATCTATTAGAGGTCCTTTGTCATAATCCATAGATTCTTCTCCGTAGGATTAAGTGTCCTCTATAAATCTTCTTTTTGTTTGACTCTACTAAGACATTCTTTCATAGTCTATCAACATAGCATCTCCTTCTTCCTCCTTCTAAACTGGCCTTTTTGGCACAATTGAATTCTCTGAAATAGTCTGAGGTGGAGACATCATCTGTGGTTACTGCTAGCCAAGAGTAAAGTTAGAAGGTGCTGGCATCTTTACTTGATTAGTCTTGAACAGACTTGAACCCTGCGATTCATACTGTGACTTGAACATGCCGCTGAAGTTCTGGTCCTGCTTTTTCTCGACTCTCACCATTGGATCAACATAAACTGGAACACTTGTTTGCTGTATCTAAGCTTTTTATTTGTCGAAAATGGAGCTAGTCTTAGGTTAAGTTGTGAAAAGCTTATCAATCTACTGAGCTTATTCCTAAGCTATCAATTTTTAAGCACTATAAAATAAGTTAAGAATCTTTGTATATTTTAAGGGAGTATTATTTTATAAAGTAGTTTTATGAAAGTAAGTAGTATTATGTTAAAAATGGTAGTGTTATAGTAGTAGTAAGTGATATATTACAATTTGGGATGAATGACATGATTGGGATCGCTATAAAGTTTATTTGGGAACTGATAGGTTTCCTTAATATTGATGTGCTAGTCTACAATGAAAGGTAAAAATCGAGAAATTTAAAAATATTTAGAAAACAGGATGAATGGTACATGCTGGGAAGTCATTTCAGACTCAGACATTAGAAACTCAAAATGAAATCTAAATCTCACCTTGACTTATGACAGAACCTTCGGGGACTTAGCCACTCATCTATCTAGAATTCTAAGCATCGTCAAAAGCCACATCGTCTTGCTGTTCGGATTCCTCATCATCATCAAATCCATACTTGGTGAAATGCTATACCTTCATCACTAAGATTTTCTTATTTGAATCATAAGAAATAAACATGCTCTATAAAAAGGTTAATAAGATTAAATTAGACTTACTCCTTGTTTCTCACATCCTTTCTTATAAACATCTACTTTCTCTTAAATGGTCTTCTTCTTTAAAATGTCCATATTGTAAAGAGTGATTAGCGCTGGTTTGTTCAGCTTCAAACCTACTTCTGGCTTGACTGTAGTTTTATCGTCGTCCATATAAACCTCGACTCTTCCTTGCATTATAGCTACAGTAGTCTCTAGATTTACTTCAGTAATATCTGTCTCTCCATCGAATTAAATGCTACCGAATTCATTGAAAATCTTGAAATTCTTGACATTTCTAGCCTGCCTAAGAGTCATTCTAGCTATTTCTAAAAATTCAGGCTAAGTTTAATATCCTGCCTTTGGTGTTCTAGGAATCATTTACTTGGGAATCAGCTGGTTTGAGTCATCCTCCTTTGGTGCAGCTTGCTGATACTCTTATGGTTTAGTCTCTTAGATCTTTGGCTGGTAGAACTTTGACTAAGTAAGCACATAGATAGAACAATTTTGCTGAATACCAGCTTCCTTTAGTGATAGATCCTTCTTGAGGATTTAGTTTCTATAGAGAAGCATTAGATCAGTGTCATTTGAATTGAAGTTGATTGTTGATTTGAGGTATTGCTCAGTCTTAAAGTAGAGGTCCATAACATCTCTTGACAAGTGAATCTTTATTTGATACTGATCAGGCTCTTGACCTTCATGAATGTCTGGGATGACTACTGAAATATTTATGATATCCTTGCTTGGAACTGGATGTTACTTTTGAGTAGTCAATAAATCTTCTTCCTGATCTTACTATTTGCTAAATCTATCATGAAGTGATTCTGGTCTTGGGTATTCATCGCTTGGTCTTAAGGATCTTTTAGTTAAGACGCTTGATTGGCTTAGCCCAGGAGTGTATGAAGCCTTGAAGCTAGTGCTTGGAGTGTTAATGAATCCCTTTTAAGCGTTGAACATTTTGCCAGGTCTATTATATCCTAGAGCCGCTTGAGATAAGACATCTGATTCAGTGCTCTAGTAGTATTACTTGTACTTTCTCATTAGCTGATCATTGTAGTTGTCTCTTTCTCTATCCTCATCTCCTCCAGGAGCTGATCCATAGAGATCTTCACTCTCCTTGGTAGTTTAGCTTGAAGTCAATTGAAGATCCTTGTATGGGTTCTGATTGTCAATTTTCTAGTTTTGCTTAAGCTTTTCGAGTTCAGCATCAATGTTTGCAAATGGACTCTCCTTTGAGAGGGTATCTCCTAAACCAAAAGGATCATTGCTCATCAGCAAGTAAGGGTTCATCATCTGAGGCTGCTGCATTTGTGTTTGCAAACCTCCAGTTTGTTGCTAGCCGTAAAGATTCTAAGATTGTCCACCGAACAAATTGCTTGTTCCTAAAGTTGATGGTTGTTGTGTTTGAGTTGCTCCTCCAAACAAACTAGATCCTCCTTAAGTGGTTTAGCCAAAGAGACCACCTCCTGTTGATGGCTTTGAAAATAAGGATGGTTGTTGTCCTCCTGCAGCCTACTATCCTCCAAATAGTGATGTTGATGGAGTTTATCCGAATAGTCCACCTCCAGCAGGTTGCTGTTGCTGTTATTATCCAAAGAGACCACCACCAGCTGGTTGTTGTTACTGTCCACCTCCACCGAATAGTGAGGATTATCCTGGTTATTATTAAGCACCTCCAAATAAAGAAGAACCTGCTGGCTTAGCTCCGAATAGTCCGCCTCCATTTTGTTGAGTGGCACCACCGCCACCAAAGAGACCTCCACCTCCTGGCTGTCCAGTTGAAGTTTGATTGAATAAGCTAGGTGTTTAAGATGGTTGTTACTGCTATTAACCTCCGCCAAAGAGTCCTCCACCTAGACCAGTTGAAGCTCCTCCTCCGAAAAGGCCACCTCCGGGTTATTACTGTTGCTATTGTTGTCCAAATAAGCCACCACCGCCTGCTGGTTATTATTATTACTGACCAAATAGACCTCCTGCTGGTTGCTATTATTATTATCCAAATAATCCTCCTGAAGGCTATTGTCCAGCTGGCTATCCGAAGGCTGTAGATTAAGTGGCTTGAGGCTAACCAAAGAGTCCTCCAGTTGCTGCTGGTTTGCCGAATAGTCCTCCTCCACCAAGATTTGTTTACTATTACTAACCTCCTCCAAAGAGACTGCCACCTGCTGATGGTTATTGCTATGGTTGTCCAAAGAGACCTCCTCCTGTACTTTGCGTGGCTCCAAAAAGACCACCTCCTGCTGGTTATTATTGTTATTATGGTTGGCCGAAAAGTCCTCCTCCACCACCACCGCTTGCTCCAAAAGGTGTAGTTTGACCGAATGGTGTAGTTGTTTATTGCTGCTATTAGCCAAATAATCCTCCTGTTGTCTAGCCTAAGGGTTTTCCAAATGACGATTATTGACCTGTTGAGGCTCCAAACAATCCACCTTAAGGTTGGCTGCCAAATGGAGTGGGTCCTCCAAGTCCTGCGCTTTGTCCAAATCCTGGAGTTCCTCCAAATGGTTAGTTCTATTGTCCAAATGCTGTTGAAGTTGCTTATCCGAATCCCTGAGTTGCTCCTCCACCGAATAAACCGCCAGCTCCCTAAGGATTGGCTAAACCTCCGAGCATTGCTGAGGGTCCAGCCTGCACTTATTGTAAGAATTTGTAGTTTTGTCCACTTTGATTCAACTCTTGCATGGCTAAGCTTTCATGATTGGGAATCTATTGCTGTCCACCTGTGTTCTTCATTACTAGATCATAGTATCTGAGCATTTAGCCTGATACTAAGTTAAACTAACCCTCAACTCTTATGCTATTAAATGACTGATTTTGCTAGCCCTTGTTACCTTCAACTGCTGATTCATTTTTAAACTGAAATTGGTTACCCCAGGAATTTATGCTTTAAACTGGTTGAATTTGCTTGTAGAAACCTCTCTCACTTGCTTATTATTGTTATTACTGTTAGTTTTATTATGGTTGAGTTTGGCCGAATCCAAGTCCACTTGATGTTTAGCCGAAAGCTGATGTTGATTGACCAAAAGCTCCTCCCTGTCCAAAAGGTGTTGACTGACTTGTCTGTCCGAAAGCCCCAAAGCCTGCGCTTTTTGTAGCCTGACTAAAGCTTCCGAATCCGCCTGTTGCAGCTCCTTAGTTGATTGGAGCATTACCTCCTCCAAAGGCTCCAAAGCTTCCTTGTGATTGACCGAATGCTGGGGTACTTGGCTGAGTTTGACCAAATAATCCACCTGTGCCGCCAAATCCTGAAGTCTGAGTTGTAGCTCCTCCGAATAATGATGTTCCTGGATTGCTTTGAGGTTATCCGAGGAGTCCGAATCCTCCTGTACTTGCTCCTCCAAAAGCACTTGTTCCTCCAAATCCAGGAGTTGAAGTGCCTCCAAAGAGCCCACCGCCAGATGGCTGTTGCTGGGGTTAGCCGAATGCACCAAAGCCTGATGTGCTTGGTGTCTAACCAAATGTTGTTTATTGACCGAACATTTCTCTTAAAGCTATATTTAATAATTATAACTCACATAAAATTGGACTCTATTTATATTATCAATCCCCACACAAAATCGATTGCATTTTGGGGTTTTGGGGTTTTGGGGTTTTGGGGTTTTGGGG